TGGTTAAAATCCTGGTCATCTGTTCGCTGTGGACAAGGGGATGTGGTGGTATGCTTAGGTGTGGGTTCGGCTGTACCAGCCACGTGCGCCAACCCCCACCTCCGGTTTTCTTGACTGTGTCTTGACACCGAACCCAGATGGGGTGCAGAGAGTGAGGTGGGCGCAGCGCAAGCCTATTATCACTATAAAAGAAATTACGTTCAAGTCAGCACGCCTGCTCTCACCCTGCTTTGGAGCACACAGTGGACATTGTCGATCACAACGCTCGAAATATCATCATCATCATCATCATCATCATCATCATCATCATCATCATCATCATCATCATCATCATCATCATCATCATCATCATCATCATCATCATCATCATCATCATCATCGTCGTCGTCGTCGTCGTCGTCGTCGTCGTCATCACCATCGCCGTCATCTACAAAATCTTCGAGGTGGTAGCGAAAATGAGGAATAACGAAACACGGATCCCCTAACGAGGACTCTCCTTCAGCTTTTCAAAAGTTATAGCCGACCGGACACTGACCTCTGATCCATACTTAGGGAGTGTGTAACGTACGAACAGACTGCGTCAGAGTTCTCATTAGACCGATTTTCAGGAAAGAGGACAATTCTTTTTGGAAGGATCAGCAGAACATAAATCTTCTTGATGTTGTCAGGACCTTCTTTGCAGGCGTCCCTACTGTCGTTTCCGTTTCTCGAACACAGACAAACTGTCACCGACAAACCACTGTTGTCTGATGCATGAATCTTTCCTTTGTCTGTCAGGTAATTTGTCGTCGATCGTGCTGTTTACAGGCATAGTACCGAACTGACACACTTTGATTTAAGTCTACCACCATAGAATAAAGACCAGAGTCTATGTAGATGGCGAGTGACCTCTTCGACGTCCCCGCCGGGGTACGTCAGAGCTGCGTTCTCCCACCAGCTTTCTTTACCTGCGTAGAAGACTGCGTTCTTCAAGATGCACCAGTAGACTACCTCGGTGTTACGGTAAACAATGGACCTAACATCGGGGGTGTCGTTAAAAAATGCATTAGTGACTATCCCCCTCACAAAAACGGGTAAGGATAGGTCGTACAACCTCACTAGGTTTAATGTGTATAACTAGCTACTACATTCGTTTTAGTATGCCTTGTTTAGTCTATAGATTCACAGCTACAGGAAACTACCCTCTGAGCTTTACCTAACCTACTGATATAACGACAAGAACCGGTAGATCTTTTAGCAATAAGTTATCTGGCATGAGGCGGCCTTCGGTTTTCGCTCTCTCCCTCTCGGTAATCCGTTTCTTCCAAAAGAGTAGCTATACCTTTTTGTGTCGTGTCGATACTCACCATACAGCGCGTGCTGTAAGGATCGTCGGCTGCGTTTTGATTTACATTGCCTCAGAGCACAAACTCTCAGCTTCCACGAGATCTTGAAGCTATGTCTAAGGTCAAACGCGTACGCCATGGCTTACTCACCTCTTCAAGTATACTTGTGTGTAGTCCCTCGCGTAACTAGTAGAAAGGCTCTTAAATTCAGTCGAGTTTATGTACAAAAAATTTACTCACATCATCGGATTGAGTTCAAGGAGGAGCCATTTACGTTCCCTGTTCGGGAAGCTGTTCCTCCGGATATGCTTCCGCAATATGCCATGCTTGATTCTGGCCAACGATGTCTAGGCGAAAACACAGCCAATACTGAACTCTGTCTACGTGGCCCATATTACTTGACCCGACACCGGAGCCCTCAGAGCTTTCCGCCTTCGACATCGGCCGCACCGGAATACATATCCGTCTGTGTACAGCCTAACACATTTGTATTTTGCCACACTAGATAGCAGTTCCCTTGTCTGGCAGTACTTTTCCACCTTCTGCTAATTTATAGCTTCTGTTATTTCCTCCGCTTTGGTCCGAAACTCAAACTGAGATTGTCTGACCTTTCTGCGACCTGGGACTGATGGTTTGTATTTAGGAAGAAAATAACAACAATTATTACCTATTCTGTTCATAAATACATTTCATCATTGTACAAAACCTTTACACATAAATATTCATTTTCCTCAAGTTTTTATTTTACAGTAGTCAGTTGACCTATTGTGAGGAAATGAACAGGCGCCCATAATTACGTTATTTGACTTTTTCCTTGTTCATTGGGCGTATTTCCATAGCTTCTCTAATATTCACGTGCATCACTCTTCACAGGACATCTTCACAATTGCAATATTTGGTACTTACTGTTCTTCTCTCCCATTGGTTGTTCGTTCCATTGGTCCCTGGGCTGTTGGAAATATGCAGGAGGCGGATTATTCAATTACCTGTTATTTCAAGTAAGTCCTTGACCCTCACTGTCGTGGTTAGGATCTCACTTCACCCCATTCTGTCCGCCCACCAGCTTGCTACTGACGACAACGAACGTTGTGTCATAGGACACATACCACATATAATACATAAGCAGCTTGCTAAGAGTGGGACAGGCCAGACGCAGACAGCTGTTTCATGGTTGTTACCGATCATCAAAGGTTTACTTGACGTGTTTTTATACCTCATCTCATATAGCCTATGGCGTAATGATGCTCGATAACGACCGTGAAACAGCTGTCTGCGTCTGGCCTGTTGCACTCTTAGTGAGCTGCTTATCTATTGCCTGCTATTTATTGAGAGTTGCCTTTGTTTATTTTTCAATTGACGCGCCCGCTTCCGTTGCTATATATAGACGGGGAATAAGGCTTTTAGTGGAAATAGATCTACTTTCTAAGTCCTCTAGCGTACATTTTGCTCCGCCTACGCGACAATGCCCCACCCGTAAAGCTCCTATTATCACCATTCCCGTATTACACGAGCCAGCGGTTATTGATTGCGAAGTGGGCTTACACAACCTACCGTTGCTCAAAAATGTAATAGACTGTGTCTCGGATAAGAACGAAGTCAACCAAGGTTGGTCTTAAAATCGATTCCTCCAAGCGGAGAGCACCGGCTCAGATTTAACGTCAGGAGGCGTGTTCGGTCACGATAGAAGACGAATCTCTTGGGTCAGTGGACAGTTTCTGCTCCCTTGGATCGAACTTTCTGCGGAGAGGACAAGTCTGAGGCTCCCGACATGGCTCATGCTGACTGAGGGACCAGCACGTGCGGGGCATTCAGGAGGCGGGAGCGAAATGTCTGAGCAGCCAGTGCGCTTAATCTCCAGGCCACCTGACTACGCTTGCCCATCACACAAGAGTACAACTGGTTCTGCGCTATTTTTCATCAGTATTCAAGTCACCCAAAGCTACCACTGCTCGTCTTTGGTAGTAATGCTGACCGACGTCTAGTTCGATGGACGAACTGTCGCGTGTGGGAGGGGGAAGGAGGGGGACGATTACGAACGCACGGTGTGTGGGGTGCCTCACTGCCACGATGATAGTCAAACTGAGCGTCAAGCTGAAGAAGTCGGGGATTAGTCTTTCCTACCATCTGGTGCACAGCTGTCAACTACGCCCTCGCAATGTTGAGCGCGGTAGGCTCACCCCTTTAGCTACTGAATCTGGCGGTTCAAAACAAGTAAGGGTGGCCGGCTTGTCTTTCCAACGCCGGTGAATCTGTGCGAAGCACGGTCCAGGCATTGGAGTCGAATCCTCCGTGTCGCGGAGCACGTCGACGAGGCAATCAGTCCAAGTTCGAGCTCAGTGGTTTTGACCAAGTCCCGCCACTGGAACGTATCGGGTTTGAGAAGTAAGAAAGAGAGCCTGATGCAGCACAAGCCCTTAGTATTATAATTTACCTCAGTCACGGTAATTGTTATCTCCCCAGGGCAGAATGCCATTCATCGAATTTGACGAACGAAGATAACCTCCTCATCACAGATGCCGTACTTCGTCTGCCCGTACTCTGGAAGGCAATCTTGAGGCTCCAAGATCGTGTTCATGGTGGCCAACCGCCTACGAGTCCGCTGGGAGGAAGTTGCTCCCAGACGCGCTAGGGAGCAGGAGAGACTTGCGGCACCGAGTGCTGGTTCGCACGCTGCCAGTTAAATCGATGAGTGAACCACAGAGATATTCGGAGAAGACTACACTGCACTGCTGGGCAAGACAAGACATAGGCAGGGAGTGGCCAATAGGAATATCAAACCGGATTAAAGATACATCGTGGCGGGTGCAGGTATGGAGAACAACCGGAGTTCGCTAGCATACAGAATCACTACTGCTGTCGCAGGAGCCTCCGGGCACTCTCCACTAACACTAAGACTCGTCGAACTAGCACAATAAAATAAGCCAGTATTTGCTCCCCGGAAAGTATTCAGCCGCGAAAGACTTACAAGAACATCAGAACCACCGCGGACAAAGCTGCACTATCACGATATCGAAGCCAGATACAAGAGAAACTGAGGAAAGGGTAGCACACCTGGCTGAGGGATAAGACGAAATCCCGGAATAAATAAATAAATGAATATATATATGTAGGCAGAATGATATTACCGACAAAGACCAGGGAGACTGGAATGGCCATTTCTGGCTTATTAGCCGTCGTCAGCCAGCCATACCCAAGCCCAAGGTGTGGAACACCCGAGCCTCGAACTCGCGACCTGTTGGTTTAGAAGTCCACGCCTCTACCCACCGGGCCACGAGCCCGTTGCCCTGTCGGTTTTCGATCGGGAATATACAATGTTAGGGGGCGCTCATACGGAACTCACTCGTTCCGTTGTGCCTTATGGGCTCTCTCTCGAGTCCAACCAGCAGCCGCAGAGCGGCGCATGATATATAGGCAGAATGATATTACCGACAAAGACAATGGAGACTGGAATGGCCATTTCTGGCTTATTAGCCGTCGTCAGCCAGCCATACCCAAGCCCAAGGTGTGGAACACCCGAGCCTCGAACTCGCGACCTGTTGGTTTAGAAGTCCACGCCTCTACCCACCGGGCCACGAGCCCGTTGCCCTGTCGGTTTCGATCGGGAATATACTATGGTAGGGGGCGTGGAAAGCCACTCCTCCCAACGCGCTGCAAATCAACGTGAACGGAACCCAAATGCAAGTGGTGGATAACTTTCCGTACCTGGGCAGTACCCTCTCCTTTAGCACCGAAATCGATGAAAAAATCGTCCGCAGGATTTCGAAAGCCAGTCAAGCCTTCGGTCGCCTCCAAAGCACAGTTTGCAATCGTCACGGTCACCAACTGACGACGAAGCTGAAGGTCATCATCCTCCCGACGCTGCTGTACGGAGCGCAGGCTTGGACAGTGTACACAAAGCAGGCACGCCGACTGAACCACTTAAACCTCAGTTGTCTTCGTCGCATCCTGCGGCTGAGTTGGCAGAATCGATTCCCCGACACTGATGTAATGGAACGGACGGGAATCCTCAGCATCTACACCATGTTGCGACAAATGCAGCTGCGTTGGAGCGACCACCTGCTGCGCATGGACGACGAGCAACTACCCAAACAACTCTTCTACGGAGACGACGCGACGGGCTCTCGTCGCCAAGGACGTCGAATTCGCCGATATAATGACACTGAAGTACTTTCTGAAGCGTTTGCAAATTAACCCGACCAACTGGGAAGAGCTCGCTCTCGACCGGCCGACCTGGAGGAGGACAGTGAAGACAGGCGCTGCGATCTATGAAGCCAACCGAATCGCAGCCGCCAAAGTGAAAAGCTAAGCACGCAAGTCGCAGCCGCGTCCACTCCGCAACGACGACGCACAACAACTTCCAACATGTCCTCGGTGTCAACAGACATTCCGGGCACCAACTGGACTTATTGGACACCTTCGGATCAACTACACCGCTCGGACCGCACCAACCTTCGTCTCCCCGCCCGCCTCTTCCTCGTCCTCTCCGCCGCCGACTAACTCCGACTACTCTTCTGAATCACCACTTCCATCCTCCTCCTCCTCCTCCTCCTCCTCCTCCTTCACTGCCCCTAGGACGGTCGCTCCGGCGGCTGTCACGCACGACAACACAACAACAGACACAATCCCTCGAGCCTCCGACTCCAGAGGTGAGGACCAGGGCTACGCCTGCTCTCACTGCGACCGCACCTTCACCTCACACATCGTCCTGGTCGGGTACTTGCGAATCCATCGCACAGAGGCTGTCGAACCAGTGCCTGGAGCACCAACATACACCCACCGCACTCGCCTCTACTGTCCGCACTGCCCTCGCACCTTCACTCATCGCATGGGCCTATTCGGCCACATGCGCACCCACGATGACCTGCGGTAGACAACCGCTGGCTGCACCACACCATCACACCCTCTCTCCCTGCCCCACCACCACCACCACCACAGCAACACTCACCCACAGCAAGCCCCCAACTGCCATCTACCACGCAAGTGGGAGTGTGCCTCTCGACTCGGTCCCCATGCGGCTTCGGCTGCACGGGCGACTTGAGTCTGAGACTATCCCGACATGTCAAGCGTCGTGGATAGGAAGGCTGTTGATTGACAACCCCACTCGGTCTACGCAGTTGGTCCCGTTGTGTGTGTTTTGTGTGGAGTGGCGGACTGGTGGGCTGGGAGACAGACTGAAACAGCACCTTCCACGGCACTCTCACGCTAGTGAGAGACACGCCGTTCAACCCCCGTTGAGTAAAATCCTGGTGTGTGTGTGTGCCTGGTGGGCCAGGTCCTGCACGTGGAGCACACAGGCATGTTCATTCGACCACGCCAGCCACCGCGCCCATTCCCCAGTCTAGTCAGCTGACCGGCTCGGACAGCGGATCGGGTGCGGGAATGGGAAGGGAGAGCGAGTTCGACGACTCAGCGCACTTTCTCCTCACTATAAACAATCTGACACGCTTGAAGCTACCACGGTGCGCTAAAAGCCGTAGCTTGGAAGGTTGCCAACTGACGGGGTAAATTGGACCTCCACCTTGATTGGAGGCGGTCTGAGAGTCAGGCTGCAGTAGCTCCTTCTTAATGTGGTTTTTATGGCACTCCCACCACAGTGTGGGATTAAAGCCAGGCGTTGGCGGCACGCCTAGGTACGGCTGCGTCGGCCGTGCCAGCCTCCAATCTATGTTTTGTGGTCAAAATCCTGGTCATTTGCGTGTGGAGCAGGGGGTGCGGAGTGGAGCGCCAAGGCGAGGATCCGTCTGAGCCATCCACCTGCGGCTTCCCTCGTCTCCGGTCTTCTTGACTCTGTCTTGACACCGGGCTCAGGCGGGGGATCAGGAGAGCGTGTAGGTAGATGCAACGCAAGTTTACTGGTACTATAACCCCCTGCACAACTCGCCGTCCCTGCTCCCACCACTGCTGAGGTGGGGCACACGGTGGACATCATCGAAATTTATTTTCGAACTATCGTGTGTGTGTGTGGCACGCGTAGGATAATGACCAAGTATCTCGCCTGCCGTTGCACATAATTCCAACTCGAGTTAACCTAACTTTATTCGGCCATTGGAGCATTATGAGAGTGTAAAGCGAGAATGCGGCCAATGTTGTCAGGTTGTTCTCGCTGTAATGCAACTCACACAGGTCACCACAGTCTCCCAGGCGATGATGGACGTCGTAGAACATGGTTAAGGAACTATCACTTTTAGGTCCCGAAATTAGGTGACGTTCGAGGGTTGGGCCAAGATCACAGAGTAGAAACTTACGGATATCAGCATCTACGTGCGTGAAGCTTGGCTTATCCGAAGAGAGGAACCGATAGGGTTTTGTGGCACTCGCTGAGGAGGGCAGATTCCGCGGCTTACCGCTGACCATTTCCCTTGGATCAGATTGCATGGAATGTATGACTAAATTGCAGCTAATGCATCATAACTTTTCTTCATTATGATAATTCTCACTTTTAGGTTATTTCCATCCCCAAGGCTGGTCCTTGTCTAGATCCCTGGAGCAAAAACAGGCGCGAGCATGAATGATGGTGTATAAAACATGCTTATGCGTAGAAAGTAAAAAAAGCCTTTTAAAGAAATTAATTGTGCAGGGAGGACGGGCAGTCCCTGTGGAAAATTCGATCCTTCGTCCTCCTGCTTGGTGGATGGCGTTGAGGAATCCGACGAGGAGCAAATCCTTCTTGGTAAACTCCGCTTGTCACGCAAGCCCCTCCATGTCATCGAAGCCTATCTTCCTTTGGAATACTATTCAAACCAATGTGGGTGCGCGTGGGCGGATTCCAGTGCATTTGTGAGAACAGCGCCCGCTCACGTGGCTGAATGATCGCCATGGGCCGCCCACGCAGCCATGTCAGTTAATGCATACATATCCCTGCCCGCTTGTTTGTGCAGGCACACCGGCCTATCACTTCGCTGTTCGTCACAGCCCAGTACGTGGGCGTAACTAACGTGACCCAATTGCGTAGTAAACGGTGCTCCAAACAAAAACGGGAGGTGTCTTCTCTGGCAGACGAAAGGAAATCAATAAACGCGAATACACATGAAAAATAAACTAAGCTACATTTTTCATGGTTTTGTGACCGGCACCCCCCTTTTTTGACTTACCCGATCCGACAAGATTATGGAGAGAACTGAGAGATAGATCATCGGAAGCGGTGATTTCGTATTGAAGCATGCAGCTCGTCTGCAGTTGAAATCGCACAGAACAGCGCCTGAGCCAACAACAACCTAAATAGTTTAACCAAAAATAGTATGTAAGAACTTGAGGACATAGAAGTGTGTCGAATATAATTTGGTAACCATATTGCAGTACTGGCAGAAGGAAACCACCGATAAAGGCAAGGATACGGGGATGGCCATTTCTGGCTGATTAATCACCGTCAACCCAACCTCAGGAGTGGAGGCACATGAGGCTCGAGACAGCATTCGTTTGGTAAAAAACCTTGGTAACTCCAACGCCCTAGCCAATGAACCACAGACTCGTTGTTGTGATCGGGCGTTCGCCGATCGGTATTCGCACTCTGCCTATATTGCTGGTTGCTCGACGACTGTCTCTGGAGCTTTAGATCGGGCCCCAAAGCACACTAAGATGAGCAGGTCCGTAACCCGATTGGCGAAAGCCCTTCCACCAGATTACAGTACTACCAGGCTCGATGATGCTGGAGGATGGACGCAAGGCTAGAACACACAAACCTAAACGGTCAGGGAAGCGAATTCTGCTACCACTTCCTGTGATCTAGATGGGTGGTGATTGAGGAAGAGAAAAACGGAGGTGATAAGACAACAGCAATGTATCAGAAAAGCCAGTCATTAGTCGGCCGACAGCTGCGACTTCGTCCCTGTCTGTACTTTGGAGTCTGAAGATGCTAACGACCCGGACGATAACCGCGACCTGGTCGTCGTTAAACAAAACACACAGCATTCATACTCGACAGTTCGACCGTCGATTCCGATGATGTCCACTATGTGCTACACAAAAAGATGCAACAGGTCCCGTAACTTGAGCGTGAATTCGTTTATAGTGATAGTAGACTTGCGCAGCATCCACCCTCTCCCCATCTGGACGTCCGAACCGCACCTAGGCGTGCCACCACACTCCCTGGTCCCCAGCATACACTTGACCAAGATCTTTCACCACCAC